TTCTCTTCTTGATATTTTATTGATATTGTAAGGAGAAATTCTATCTTGATCACTTTACAAAGTTAAAGGGTCAAACAACTGCATTATGAGAGAAACTACAAAAAATTAATCATTAGATGTGTGTTATTCTGTATCTTCTATTGAACATCAAGGCTATTGACAAGAAAGTTTAGTGGCCTAAGATGGAGACTTGAGTGTCTGTATCTGACAAATAAGTGACCAGGACTGTTTTTGGCATTTTGGATTTCTAAAGGCTGGTTTTCGCAGGCGACAGAATTGGAATCCAAGTCATAGTTAGAACTGTAAGAGGGTTTTCACTGAATCATAAGCATCAGAGTCATAAGTGAAATTGGAAGAAAATGAAACTGCCCTGCTTCTTCTGGTTTTAATTCTGTTCATTTTAAAACTCTGCTTACAATTGCGATTTTCAATTTTTACTACATCATATCATTTTCTTCCACTTTCACTTGTCTCTGACTCCTGTGATTCAGGGAAAACTACATCATGGGAGTTACAAGCACAAGCAAACAGACATTCAATCAAAATTCCAGTTTTCCATCCTGCCGAAAACAGTCTTCTAGTCACCACTCCAACAATCCAGTTTTCACTTAACTGTAGGCAACAAAGTTGTACCGTAAGCAACATCTATATTTTTTTTCCAATTCCATTGTTTTGATTTTCTCTAGATTGTATGCTTGTGTGGTTCTGATAACCAATCCAACCCCAACTCTGTCATAAGTGAGATCCAGGCTTAAAGGCATATTTAAAATTTCATCTAAGTCACTAACCAGTCTCTTTGCCCTTGATATTTCCTTCTTTATGTCCTTGATTAAAAATCCATCAAATTCTTCATCATCTTTTCCTCTCTGAGCCAGTCCTGAGGAAAGAAACTGCACAGGAAACAATTCATTATGCGATAGACAGGGCTTTCTATCAGTTTACCAGCGTGATAACACATGCCTAGAAAAGTTTGTTCATTACTGGCTGGAGGTGAGTGATTTACAAACTATTCCCATGTTCCCAACATTGTAAGTGTAACTGAGGCACAACTGCCTTTTAAACCATTACACACTGACATTAATCAGTATGCATATTCTCCAAACTGTTCTCTATACATTTCCTAAGGTGCTGACAAGGAGAATTTGTTTAACAATCAAGAGCTTCTTTAGTTGGTGATCATTTCTTTTATTCTCACGACCTTGATGAGCGATTCAGGGGTGATAATGTAAGGAGAACTTAGATTCTAGTCACTCTTAGAGGTTAAGGAGATTAAAAGGGACAAAGGGCTGAACGACATGCAAAAAAATTTTAAATTTGTAAAGGAATCATTCCTTACCATACAATACTGGTGAACTGAAAAACCAGTATTTATATCCTTTAAGAATTTTCCAAAAATTTCTTCATCAGGTCCTTGGAAACACAGCCTACACATGTCACTGTTGACTGGCAATAATAAATAACGTTTAAAAAATGATAAGAATAAAGAAAACCAACTTTCCCTTATCAAGTTAACAATTAAATTTATCATTAGGCCGTAGATGAAAGAAACCCTGCAATTATCTAAAATTATTGCTCGGAAATACTTTAGATGCTCTTGCTCTAAGAAAATCATAGCATCTTAACTGTTGACCACAAAGAGAGATTGTTCACCCTTCACACCATTACATCAGTAAGTATATTCTCCATACAACTCTCTATACATTTCCTAAGGTGCTGACAAGGAGAATTTGTTTAACAATCAAAGCTTCTTAGGTTGGTGATCATTTCCTTTATTTTCATGATCTTTATGATTGATTGAGCAGTATTACTGTAAGGAGAAATTAGATGCTGGTCACTCTTACAGTTTAACCTTTAAAGACCAAGATAGAATTTCTCCTTACAATATCAATACAATATAAAACAGACAAGTGATGAGAATAAGGAAAAATATAAATTAGCAGATTATTAGTTGATGCAAAACCAAATTCTCCAAACTCACATCATAAGAATTGTACTGCAGACAGTAAGGAGAATTATTAATGAGATCTTGAGAGTGAAAAGTTCAAAGGGTTAAGACACTTTTCCTCATGACTTTATAACAATATCAAATGGTCAAGTAATGATAACTGATGACATCAGAAATATTTCTGTATAGCCCCCTTAACCCTTCAACTTCCAGAACTATCTTGATCTAGCACCATGCTCTCATAACTAATTTACAAGGAAATATGTATAAGCTAGAAGGGAGAATTAAAAATCAGATCTTGGAAATTTAAGGGGTTAAACAAAACCGTATTCACAAAGGCATTCTATGGTTTTCAAGAACTGTATGCATGATGGAGTTTTGGGGCTGTGCAGAAACTTAGCCTATATGAGTGGAAATGTGTTGTACAGATGATGCATCAAGCTCTTACGGGTATCAGAAATATTTACGAGAAATATCTCCGATTCTCTATTGTTTAGGACGATGTTTTACTAAATTACAAATTAAATTCGGGCGCCAAAGTTGTGATGGGATTTTCGAAACTCAGCCTGAAATAGTAGCTATCCACGAATACTCGAATCAGGTACTGAGATCTTTGTAGAATCTTTTCTTCTGAGGCAGATCTTGATCAAAAGTCAAAAGCTGTACAGATCGAAGTTAAAAAAGCTTCCAGATTGCACAAATTGGACGGAGTTCATGCATTACTGTATAAATGTGCATGATCTCGATCGAATATCAAGATCTATTTCCGAACTATATCGGGAAACTATGTCCCGGTTTTTCATGGAAAAAGCTGACCTAAGTGCCTACCTTCGGCAAAATCTCTTTCTCTCCATCCCCTACGTCGACGCATCATAAAAACAGTGAAAATCTGCAAACAAAGTCGATCTACTTTCTACAATCGGCCCAGCTTGGCATAACTTCATATTCACCTCATTCAAAGGTAACGGAATCTCGCCCCATGCCTCCACTCTGATGTCTAATCATAAGCACGTCTAGCGTGCGAAGTGTACTTTTTTTGGCTGCCTGAGTCGTCACTTATTAAAAGTTATTTAAAAAAGCTATTTTTTTTTAGTAGTTTTCTAGTTTTAAGTATAAGTTACAAGTGAAGTAACTGTTCCCCAGAGTACTCAAATAACCAAAGAGCGAATATCTTTAAGAAGTTGTGTGAAAAAAAGGAAAATGCTGAAAATTGATTAGATTACGAACTCACCCTTTTCCTCCAGCACAAATCGTTGTACTGTCAATGAAGTTGACGAAATAAAATCTCGTGTCCACCGTTAAACCTGGGACATCAGGCGTCATCGGGCGTCATCAGGCACTTCTCAGAGTTCACGAGACACGAGGATTTCGAGACTGCTCGGCTCTCATGAATTTATAACGTCGGGAGTTAATCCCATGGAGATAATTTTTACATGGGTTTAAAACATTGTTTTAGATTCTTAAAGTCAGTTAGCGATTACGATCTCTTCCCGTGTTCTTCCCGCGTTTTTCCCCAGTATCTTTTATCTAATGAATCCGCAACAATAATATTAATTTTGTCACTGAGGAATAAGATTGTTAGTTGTCTTCTATAGCTTTGATTGTAACTTTACATCGCCAGCAGATAAAACCGTGATTAACGTGACACGTAAGTAGCCTCTTCCTCTTCAAAATTGACGAACCAACTACTTACCCTGGTTTCATCACCATCATCATTATCATTATCAGCCACTTCAGAACGAATGTTAATGCAATTTCAACAGTATGGTAAGGCGGAGAGACCTCCACGAAACCACCAGACTAATGTGGGAGGTCACCTCGGTTGTCAATAGGTTTGTGATTAAGTTGTGGATATGCGGCTTTGTCAATACAGACTCATTTCATTAAAAATTCAATCATCATTTTCCTTTTTAGATGCACAAAAGCTAGTCGAACGAATTATCGATATTGGGAGAGAATTCCAAATTTTGGGACCTTGGTAGAGTACTGTGAACTTTTCAAGATTAGTACGACAGTGATGCAGTCGATAACAGCTCGCTTCTCGTCTCATAACTATAAATTTGATTAATCGTAGGACACATACTGAGAAACACCAAGCAATGCTAAGGGTATATTTCAGATGGAGGGTATATTTCAGGTTGAGGGTATATTTCAGGTGGAGGGTATATTTCAGGTGGAGGGTATATTTCAGGTGAGTCTCGAGCAGTTTTAATCAAAATCTTTGTGACTCTTTTTGCTCTGTGAAAGTCTTTTATAATTGAACGTAAATCGTATGCCTCGCGATATAGAGTCAGGCTATCAACTCTATTGATTACAACGTTTCGACTGCTACACAGCTAGTCTTCGTCTTTTAGCTACGGATCCTGTTATATCTTGTACCTACATCTTTTCATTGTCTGTGAAATTTTACATAAAACCGAGGGAAAGCTGGGTAAGGGATGAGATTCTTTTTTATTATCATTTATATCGTTACTTTTTCTAACAAAACTGTGATTCTTAACTTTCGCCTCTGAAAACTTTGCACCTTTTTCAGGGGTCTAGAGAAACCATACCTAAACAATTTGGATATAAAAATTAAACGTAAATCTCAATTCTTTCTCCTTCTCCCAACAGAGTGACTTCAGTGTCTTTCATTTTGCTTTCATCCTCCTGTTTCCCATTGTTTTGCTTTTCCTTCCCTTTCTGTTTGTTCGCCGGACTACTTCCCTTTAGCTTGTACATCTCCTCAAAGTGTGACAGCAGGACAGGGGTGGGGAAACAAAACAGAACAACTATCCCGGATACAGCACAGATGGCTCCAATTAATTTACCCAGAGCACCTTTCGGTACCTTGTCCCCATAACCCACTGCGGTCATGGTGACTATCGTCCACCAAAAGGCGTCTGGTATACTATCAAAGTCATTGTCTTTCACGTCATTCTCAACATAGTAAATGACGCTGGAGAAGAGGATCACATTAATAATCATAACTGCTAATAGCGACGGTAGGTCTTTTCCACTCATAACTAATGTTTGAGCGAGAACTTTCAAGCCTTTGCTGTAGCGAGAAAGCTTCAGGACTCGTAACACTCTAATGAGGCGAATTATCCTTAAAACCGGAAATGACGTCATCAAGACACCATCCGCTTCGAAGATAAGAGTGATATAAAATGGCAAAATGGCTAAAAAGTCAACTAAACCCAAGGCGGAAGTCATAAATTTGATTCGATTTGGAGCAGCAATAAGTCGCAAAACATATTCAAACGTAAACCATGCTACGTAGACAGTCTCGATCGTTGACCAATAGGTACCACGTTCTATAACAGTACAGTGTGTCTCTGTCAGGTTGATGTGATTATCGCCCAGCGAAGTGTTGTAGAGGTCACGTGACAATATATGACCGTTGGTATTGTTGTGTAAGGAGCTCGAAGTGACATCACGACAAACAGTGCGCCGATTAAACCTCGGGATAGTCTCAATACAAAATGTTATCGTTGATAATATTATCACAAGTAAACTGAATTTTGCCAGCAAATCCGCCCAAATGGAGGTGTGAGGGTATTCTAGAAGCCTCCAAATTTTTCGCTGAATCGGATGTTCGGGCATCTCCTCTTCAACATCTTTCACCTTCTCAGGTTCAATTTCCTGCTTGTACCTCAAGTCCGCTTGATGAAGCTGGAAAAATTTGATTTCCTCTAAAAAACTTTCCCGTGGAACGTGCTCGGGACATGATAAAATTCCACAGGATTGATAGAAAAACAGTATGGCATCAAACACAACTTTATCACGATCAAAACAGTATTCCTTGCTCAGAGTGTTGTAATATTCCCTCCGCTTGCTTGGCGAACCGAGCAATGTTTGAGGGTACTGGGCCAGAGTTTGTTCATAGGTTTCGAAAACAAGTCCCCGGACGTTGATGCGAATTCTTATTCCTGTATCCGCTGTTGTGACTGATTGTGGACCACAGGGTTCCAACCAATTTTCAATTCTGCCATAGCGGTCTCCATCATAACCGGAAGCTCGTGACGATGCGGCCACTGAGAGCGCATGCATTACTGTGGGTTAATTTACGACCAGTCTATAACGACAAATCACGAGAAAAAGAAAAGTTACTTTTTACCAGCCCTACAGGTATAACTAATCAATCCTTTAAATTCATAAGTTGAACATGAAACTAGGTTTGAAATGCGCACAAGTGATTACTGCAGCTCTCTCCTTCCAAGATCTTCATGCGTCTCTTCCCGCGCGCATTTTAGTGAGGAGACGAGAGGTACAGATGACCGCTGTTTAACGACTGAATCAAAATAAAGATTGAAAGTAGTTTTTGTAACTCGTTTTATTTCCAGTAATTTACCATCTGCGAAACAACGTTCATCTTTGTCCTTTCCAGCCTTAAGACTTTCACTCCTAATGTTATCAGGATCTCATACAAATCCTAGTTAGCAGGTAGCAATTCTTTAAAGCAACTAATTTACTTGCGCTAGAGGTTCAATTTAGTTTAAAAATCATCCCACATTATAGAGGCGATAAGATCTTGATGAAAACATACAACAATCAATTTGATCTTTAAATTGTCATTCCTCTCTGTTCGAATAATTTTTCGTTTATCTAATCATCAAGATTTGACTTTAAGTGTCGTAACATGAAGTGAACTGAGCACCACTGACCGGTAACCGCGGGAACAGCAAGGGAGGTTGTAATCGTTTGCTGTTAGGTAAATCAAGAGTTAAAATCTCTTGATGGTAGTTACATAAAATTCTGTTGCATTAACTTGTTTCGTCTTCCTTACTAGTCAGAGATCGGAACATAGAGCTTCTCGAAAATTGAAACTAATTAATTAATTGAGAGGCAGTCTGCATATCAAGAAAGGCTTGATTAAGATGGCGTGAAATTGTCACTGTGGTATGGAGCTAATAAGCACTCTGTATTTAATAACATCTTGCTCCTCAAAGAATTGTTTACATAACAAATTTTACGAGTGTACAAGGTTTTAATGTTTTTTTCGCTAGAAGATATGAACGAGAATGCTTTGCCGAACGCTGTACCCATGGAATTTTACAATTGGGTAAATTCGCTTGAGCCGGTTTACATGTCGTTTTTTTTTTTGTGCGCGTAAGTTTCATTTATTTGACGCGCGCAAGAATTTTGACACAATGCTTTTTCCTAAGGGGGATTTAATTGATGAACACGCAAACTGTCTTTTCATTATCTTTTTTTTTTCGCTTTATGCCAGACAAGACATGTATAAATTATAGCCCTCTTTTACCAAACATACTGCAAACTACGCTCTATATGGTATGCGATAGTTCGCATTTGTGAAAATTGAGTTATTTCCATTATCTGTAAACAATCAAGCTATATAAGAAATAAAAGTATATTTTTATGCATGGACGTAATGGCATTACGGAATCCAACCCGCAGGAGTAACGTTGGTATGATTTGTAAATACTGTGATGTTGTACAGATTACAAGCCAGCGAGGACTCGAAAACGACGTAACTGGCCTTCGGGTAACCGTGCGAGTAAGTGACACAAAGCAGTTTCACCGGCCGGGTGTGTTTGATAAGTTTCTTGAGTGAAAAAGAAAGTCGAAAGCTTAAGGCAACAGCTACAGGATGGTGAGATTAGATCTAATCTTTTCAGAACTTCTCACACTTCCAGTTTATTTGTTCACCATAGAATAGAAAGCTTTTTGTTCTCCGGCTAAAGATCAAGAGATGAAATTATGAAACATGGTCTGTAGCTGAACTGAACTCCAAGGCTATCCCGCATAAGTGAGCCAGAGGCAATTACAACAGATGCTGGAGTTGAATAATTTGAGCTTACCTTCGAGTGCGTGAAGCACAGATGAACGAATTTTTATCGTCTTTGTGTTTTGAATAGTGGTTGGGAAACTTTATTGTCGTCGCTTCATATTTTTGAGCCCACGCGAGGAGGAGATTCGCAGCTCTGGATGCGAAAACACGCCCATCGGATGAGCCGACTTCGAAAGACTTATCTGCAATAAAATTGAGAAGAGGGTGTCGGTAAGAAAGAAAAACAGCCAGAAAACGAGAAACAATAACCACAGACGAGTTGAGAATTTCGAAGGTTCAAAAGTTAGTCTCGCATTGGGTGACTTAAGCGAAACCAAAACTCAATTCTTTTCAGAAAGCACACTACACTTACACCGACAAGTGAGAGATACTCACGAAGCTTTTGTGAGTCACTAAAACGCGTCTTACTTGTTGTCATCTGAATAAATCAGGTCTTGTATAGTGTTCTATCCTGCTGCGAAAAATTTTAACCACATCAAGGCTCAACCGCGAATTTTTTTTTATGACACGTACAGTTTTAAAAGACCAGCGCGGAGAAGCAAGGTAAAAGACTTCCTCGCACAGTTTGAAGAAGTGGAGCTACCCACCGTACATTTGTGGGCGGATTTGATGCTTATCTTGAAGAAATAAAGACTGGAAAAATCCAGAAAAGTAGATTTTGCTACAATAGCGGTCGTTTTCTTTGGAGAGCAAAGTAATTAATATTTAATGCATAAATTTTTAACACAGAAAAGAAACAAAGAGAAAATAAAATAAATATCTTAAAAAGTTATGGGAATATAGACTTTGTTATCAATAAATTTGCTGTGACACAGGCGACAGGCTAAGAAAAAATATACCGACAACATTAAAATTATATGGAATAGGCGTTGCTTTGGGGTTTGTCTCGAGATTTTATGTAAACATACCCTCATTTGGAATTGTCTTTAAATCAAGATCATTGTTAAATTCTGTCCTAATAAAAAATTTACGAAGCGATCATCAATTCGCCTGAGCGAAATTAAAACAAAAAAAAACTGTTTCATTCTCGAGTGAGGGGCTAAATGCTAACCACGGGTATTAATATGTAACACAACTGGAAAAATTAAATGCAAAAAAAATTGATCAAATAATGAGACAATTTTCAGGAGTATCTCTCAATGTTGTCGATCAATCCATGGTGTTGCATATGAATGTTGTATACATTTTTCTGGATCGTTCATGGTTTGGGCAAATGTGATAAAAGATAAGCGTTATTTAGACTAGCAAAAGACAATTGATTTAATCTTTAAACAGGTGAAACTTCACTTTAATTGTACAAAAAGTTGAATATTTGTATGCAAAATTTATTCAGGTTGGAACGCAATTTTTTTCTTTTTCACTGATGGTGGAGCTAAAACGGTGTGTTTTTGACAAAAAAAATTTGAAGAAGAGAAAATGATTTCGATAGTGTTCACAATTTTCAATAATGCTAAATACTTAGCCAGCGGTTTACTTGAACAAAGAGCACGTTTACCTCAGGATGTCACGAGATCCCGCCGGATAATTTTACCCCATACAAAGTCACACCTTTTCTCCTTTGAACACA